CTCAGAGGTTATGAGGTCATTTGAATTGTGGTGCTGTATAATAGTTCTACAGATACCAGGGATTGTAAAAACATAAATAAATGGGTCTTAGGTCAACTTAAGCTTGAACTTGCTGTAGAAGACAAGATGACTAAACTGAGGATGTTATCCTTTGAACGTATTATGAAAAGATATAACTTACTAGGAAAGACAATGAGGCTTGGTAACAAAGTCTCATTTTTGGCCTAATAGCATAGCACTTAGTCCAGTGACTCCTAGATTTACATGCTCAAATGTTGTTAAACTAGCCATCCCAGAATCCTTGACTATTGGCCCTACGGCTTGGGGATTTCAGATGTTAAATGCCCACAACATTTAGGTGACAGGTTTGAGATTTACTTATAAAGGCGATATCCTCTCTACTCAGACATTCATTATATTTTTCCTTGGCAATTGTGGCTTTAGATAACCAACGGTTTGAGCATGTCCCATCGTTGCACTAAATAACGCCTCTCACTTCTCTGCCTTCCATCATACTCTGATAATAGATGATTCTGATAGCAGAATGCGTTTTCATTGCAGTTCTGAGGAGTGAACGGAGGTTGCAGCAGTTGATCAGTAAGCGTCTGTTACATGAAGACCCCTTGAATGATGAAGGGCAAATTGGAACTGACATTGAGACAGCAGCTCCTTTCACTGAGGAGGAGGTAGGGATACAATTCCACCTGTTACCACAGCACACGTGTGGGTAACTGATAAGTAGCGTACAATATTGACACATCATCATGACATGTGATGTGAGCATATTTAGTGGTCACAACCTTTGTGCTGGATATATTACAGTATAAATATTTTTGTAAATAAATAAATGCATCTGATAGTCGATCTGGTTGGATCCTGTATACTTTTGTTGTTAGAATACTTAATACTCCAAGACTGGGAAGATGAACAATCACCATCATATCATTCAATTGTCAGATAATATCGTATTAGCTACTATGTAATATGTATTTTTGGAAATGTGGTAATCTTATTTTAATTTATATGCCCAACTTATGTGTATATCTGCATACTTCTATTTCTCTTGCTTCTTTTCTCCTACTTTTTTCCTTTGAAATCATACTTTTACAGTGAAAATTAAATTAAGAGGGAGGGGGAAGTTGCACCAGCTTTTGGTGTTTGAGTCTCTGTGTAAGTAATAATTAAGAAATGTCTTTCTAAACAGCGCCTGTTTTTGTTTCATATGCAAGCCAATTAATGTTAAGGCTAATATTCTTATATTCCAATTCATATTAATCTACTTTTTAATTAAGAAAAATTGTACTTGATTAAAAAATTTCTAAACACATGTTTTTAAAGCACTGGTTGTCATGCACCTGGAATACAGTATCCTGAAATACAGTAACATTTAACTCTGCAATCTATCTGTGGTCTCCTTGATCAACATTTTTGACCAGGGACC